TGTGCTGTGGATGGAAGGGTGTGGTTCACTAGGACAGAAAGCGACTTTTTCACGTTTCGCAGCGCGAAACATTTTTCGCTGCGGGAAACCTCGAGTCCACTGATGAATCAGCGATGAGACCTGAGTTCCCGCAGCGCGAAAATGTTTCGCGCTGCGAAACGCGAAAAAATCGCTTTCTGTCCTAGTGAACCAACCCATGTGGATACTACAGTGAAGTAGGAATGACCATTGTACCCCCCCTTTCAAAAAACGAGAAGAGCGTCGGAGTGCAGACCAATACACCACAAGTGACGACGGCCTCCAAGTAAATCTGGTTAGTGGTGGTTTATAGTGATAGCTGATTTTGTGGTAATGATAGTTGTAAATTCGTATACATCTGATAGAATTTAAGTGCAGCAGGCTAAGACCCCGTTCATACTTTGAGAATTCGGCGAAGATGCGATGATGCGACCAAGCGATTCTATCAATGAAGTGAGTGCATATCGACTGACCCTAACTTCGTATAGCATACATCACTAGCCGCTGCCATCACGTCAGTGTAATGAAAGCTCCATGACGGCCCGCCCCAAAAATCCGATACTAGACCATGAGGCCAACGGACCCACGCATGCACTTCTATCCGGTCCAAAGCCCTCGAACGGCCAGATGCGTCTCCATGGCCAACATGGAACTGCAGTGTTAATATATTTGAGCCAGTAGATTTCTCAGAAAACAAAATTGACAAAATATGTTCCCAAAAAGAACAGAATGGAGCAATGACAGAACTCTTCTTTCGCTGACCTTGCCTGCAGCAAAAAACAGTGAGCTGCCAACTTATTTGGAGGGAAAATTGTGAAGCACCTTGAGTTCAAGATAAGCTGATTAAATCCATCCTACTGCAAAGGTCAATTGACGGTCCCTTGAATAACTCTTCTAAGTAAAATAAAGGTGTAATGTGAAACCCACACCAGAGAAATGACCTAATCAGAGTGAAGCAGACAGCGAAGAAGATACCCCATAATCCATCACATGAATCCGACTGAATCCAACAATGCGTAAACGATCACTACGGGAAGTACCGCGCAAGTTTAGATCGTACGCAAACTCGCTTCAATTCGGAACGGCCGTGGTACTTCACTGAAATCGAAATAAAGTACCACGGCTTCAGAACCGTTTTAAAACTTTCACAACAAATGCTGCATTTCCGCGAAAACCATTAAGCCACGGAAAATTGCATTCGCCATGTGGCTGTTTTCAAAACATCTCCGATACATGCTTGAAAGCGCCTAGTGGGAAACACAACGAACACCAGGCCTGCATCTAGAGCGCTACTATCTCTTCGGAGGTGCTGGAAAAACAGGCATAAGCAAATTAGGATACGTCTTTCACTCTTAAGCTTGGTCAAA